ACACACACACACACACACACACACACTCAAATGCTGCATGTTGTGTCCCTGTAGTTGTGTATATGCTTTAATACAAGCTAAGGGACAAAATAAAAGACTAAGTCAGATGACGAGGTTGCAGAAAGAGTACTGAGGGAGGACTTCAGAAAGAGTTGCGAAGAGAGAAGAGAAAAATAACGAAGAAAAGCAGAAAGTGCAACTGATCATGTTCTGTAACACGCTCCCCTTTAGACCTTCTGAACAGAATTAGAGGATAGACTAGAATTTGGACGATCTGCTCAGATGGAAGTGAGTGAGATTCTGCAGAGGATACAATTCTGCAGTATACAATTCACATAGGATAAATGGTAAGGAAGTCTGTTGTAGATATAAACATAGTTTTGTTTTAATCCCAGGTGTGGGCTGTGGGACTGATTCAGACGGTCCACAGCAGCAAACTATTTGCCTCATGCCGGCTCCGAGAAGAGCTCTTTGCTGGCTGCAGATAGTTTAAATCTGAGTATTCTGGAGAGAGAATAAATGCCAGAGCCCAGAGAGTGTGGAGAGCTCCGAGAAAGAACAAGGCTGCTGCTGCCTCCCCCAACCCTGATTGCTGTTGATGCAGTGATGTGAGAAATTAGAAATCTCCTGAAAAATTGGACTGGCTCCAAGGAACCCAATGATCCTAGCCAGCAGGAGGCAGCTACGAGAACTATGCCCACTGTCCCACTAACTCTTTTTCTCTCCTACCTGGTGTTGGGGTGTTGGAAGGGATTGGGATGGACTAGGGAGAAAGAGATATAAGAAATATAAATAAAAGGATTTTTAAAAAGTATGTCAGCAGAAGCTCATTGGCTTGGCTGCCGGATAAGCACAGGAGCTGAGCTGAGATGCAGAAAAGAGTGACTCTTTTCTCCATATATAAAGAAAGTTGGGCCTGAGAAACTTTAATAAAATAATACCCAGATTGCATTGGGAGTGGTATACATAAAATAGAAAAGCTGACATGTAAGAGTAACTTTTATTCTCCTGAGGTAATTGCTATCTTGGAGGCTTATTGCTACTCTTGTCTGGCAGTTTTACCAGGACAGTAATGAAGAGACAGGTCGTTGAGAGAATTCAGGTGAAGACCAAATGACCCAGAGAATGAGAAAGAGCCAGGAGATCAGAGCATGTTGTTGAAGTTAGTTTGAGGCCAAACAGAGCAATTCAGGGGCTGAGAGAAAAGCCAGATTGAAAAAGTCAGTTGGGAAAGGAGTTTGATCCAGAACAGCTGAATTGAACTAGCCAGCCCAGAACACAGTAAGAATAAGAAAGGGTGAGCCTTTTCCACAGCAAGTCTCAGAAGCAGAAAACATTCTAGGCCTAGTTAGATTGTACAGAGGCTAAAAGCTTCCAGGACTAGGCTTAGGTTAGCAGACAGAGGCAGTAAGCCTTCCAAACAACAAATGAACCGGGAGAATAAAGGTTCGCTTTATGGGCTGGAGACATGGCTTAGAGGTTACCTGAGTTCAATTCCCAGCAACCACAGGGTGGCTCCCAACCATCAGATAATGAGATCTGGTGCCCTCCTCTGGCCTGCAGGTGTACATGCAGGCAGAACAAAAGAAAAGTTTATTTATTTTGACAAATACAGGACTGCTAACCACAACTGATTGGCTTTACACTAGAATATATGTGCTGAGCGGAACACAGAAAGAACCCTAAGTATTTTATAATGAGATAAAATGTTTGCTCTCATCCTTTGTTGTTGTTAGAAGTGAACTTCTAGGAGGAAAATAAATTCTCCAAATCCTATAACATAATGCTTGGAAGGTGGCTCAAGAGCAGAGTTCTTGAGTAGCTTGAGAAAGACAATGAGTTTAACACCAGTAATTGTAAATAAACAGATAAATTAAAATACAAGAAAATAAAATGAAAAAAATCAAAAACTTAGAAAGTAAAAATTGACAAGAATACAAAATCATAGGAACTACTCATTGCTAGTTGGAAAGCAAGGTAGCACAATGCTTATATCCAGCAGTTTGAGATTCTGGAACACGTGAAAATACAAGAGTTTTTGAAACATCTTCAGTTTCTGGAATTTAGAGGGAGTGTGAGGGCATATATTGATGAAGCCTAGACAGCAGAACTACTTCATATGATACCTACTGTACTGCTCCTTTAGTTTGGATCTGAATGTCTCTTGAATGGCCATTTGTTATGGGCTTGGTCCTTAACTTGGCACCATTGGAGGTGATAGAAACATTTAAAAAGTAGGGCCTCATGGGAAGTCTTTTGACTCCCAAGGGTGTGCCTTGAAAAGGGACTGTGGGATTCCCACCTCTTTCTCTCTTGCTTCCTTCTTGAGAGGTAACTAACAGCCTTCCAATGTCACTCTACTTTGCCCCAGATTTGAAAGAAACAGGGCCAACTGACCATAGATTGGAACTTCACAAATTATGTGATAAAAAAAAAACAAAAACACAACACTTTTGTCTGTATCTGTTGATTTACCTCGGGTATTTGTTATCCTAGCAGCAAACTAATTAACGCGTGGCTACATGGCATGCATTTAGCAAAACACATGGAACTATCAGACACCAGGAGCAAGGCCTGATTAAACTGAGGACTTTAGTTAATTACATGTCAACATCTTTCCATCAATTGCAACAAGCACATTGCATCGGTACAAGATACTATGGGAGGAGACACCAAGGAAGTCCACATAATACCTGCACTGTCAAAGTGTGTATTTCTCTGTGAATAAAACCTGCTCTAAGAAACTGTACTAATTACATATGTATCTTATCTGTATCCATATTTAATCTGTACCATTAAATACAGATTCGTGATTGTATATATCATATGATATATGCGAAGGCATTATAAACGTTGTTTGTAATTATAGAATGACTAAGTATAGATTAATCAGCATAAATATCTTCTTTGACAGACTGCCATGGACTTAGAACATCTCATACCCAGAGTTAGATTAGACATATATTTATGCTTAAACTATAACCATTTCCATCTTAGATAATCTCATTAGCAAGGGTACTTCTAAGTACTTAAAACACTTAGTCTCTAAAGGTAAGCCAACCCATTTGTGTGACATGGACTTAGTAGTTACTAACAGGATCAGCAACCAAATGCTGCGATCTCAGGAAACAAGAGAAAGAGAAAGAATAAATGTGCCACTGTCGTCACATTTATTCCTGCTGTTCAATGACCACATTGTAGATACTGACGAGCCACTGGGCTCCAGTGTGGCACTGAGGACTGCACTTCCGGTGGCTGCTATGATCTTATTATACAGTTTGCAGAATCATTTAATGTGTATGCAGAGGGGCTATTCTAGCCTATCTAACGTTTTCCAGTTTGCTTTGATTTCCATGATATAGCGAAGGTCTTCTTTATTTGAGAGATTATTTTTAGTGACAATCACAGTCATATTATGACCCAAGCAAGAGGCCTGTGATGATGATTCAGTCAGTGAAGTGCCTGTCACTCAAGCAGGAGGACCTGGGTTTGGATTCTCAGAACCTACGTATAAACCAGGCCGTAGCAGTGTGCTTCTGTAACCCCCCAGGTTGGAGGGAGGAGGAGAATGGGGAAAAGAGGACCCATGAAGCTCATTGGTCAGACAGTTTACTTCCATAGATGAATTTCAAGTTCAGTGAGGGACCATTGTCCCCTTGCACCACCAGGAAAATAAAAAAGCAAAGGTTGGTGTGGAGGGTTAGGATATTGCTCAGAGGTTAAAAGCATTTACTACTCTTGCAAAGGACCTAGATTTGGTTCATGGAACCAATTGTGTTCATGTCAGAAATAGTCCCTGTTCCCCTTACTTGGGTACCTACTTGGATACTGAGCTGCCATGGGCTACATCTGAGCAGGGGTTCTAGGTTATATCCATACATGGTCCTTGGTTGGAGATACAGTCTTATAAAAAACCCCTGTGCCCAGATATATTAGGTCCTTGTGGAGCTCCTGTCCTCTCCAGGTCTTACTAACTCCCCCTTCTTAAAAAAAATCTATTGTTACACACATACACACACACACACACACAGACACACACATATATATGACAACCTCTTCAAAAAAAAAAAAAAACGATTATGACTCACTACTGTCTGTAATTCCAGTTTCAATGTGTCCAAAGCCCTCTTCCATCCTTGAAGGGCACCACGCACATGAGGTGCATATAAACTCATGTAAGCTCACACATATACACGTTAAAAATCAATAATTTTTAAAAGGTGGAGAACGATGAAATACAAGATATCAGATACCAGTCTTGAGATTGCAAAGGCATACATACAAGCTTGCACGTACACCCAACAAACACACTTGCATATGTGCATAATGATGAGTGCACACAGGCCAGCAGAGAGCGAGCGAGGAGAGAGAGAGAGCGCATGCATAGGTCTTACACAGCTTACTACCTGGAAGGGAGGGAAACAATGTTACCAGTGTATTCTGGAAAGCAGATGCTGAGGTGCACTCTGGTCACCTTCTCTTGGAAGAGATCTTTCTTGTTAAGGAACAGAACGATGGAAGTGGTTGCAAAATACTTGTGATTGCAGATGCTGTTGAACAGGTGAAGGCTTTCGTGCATCCTGTTCTGTAGTGCAAGGGAAGAGAATGGGCAAGGTTACTTAGGGTCTGCGGGGCTTGAGCACGGGCATTCCAAGCAAGGGCCTCGATGTAAAAATGCAGGCTTGTAAGGTGGACGCCGGTTTGGGAAGTGGCACGCTATATCCGGACGGTAGAATACCGGTTTGGTTTGGCTGGTTCTCCTTCCTCTGCCTCCACTTGTTGCCTCAGACTTACCACCTCTTCATCTTCTACTAGCACCATGTCGTAGGCACTAAGCGCGGCACAGAATATAATGCACGTCACTCCTTCAAAGCAGTGGATCCATTTCTTTCTCTCTGATCTCTGGCCACCTACATCGAACATCCTTTTGAAACAAGGAAATGAAAGATGAATCCTCTGAGCGGTCGACACGGACTGCACAGTTCAATCACCGTAAAACGCATCCTTTCGTTTCTGTTGGGTAATCTAAACTGATCGAGGACTACAGAAAAAAAAGAGAAATTTCGTTTTCCCCCTCTTCGCACAGGACTGCATGAAATAGTTCTCACACTAATTTGAAGAATTGGATACAACTGTAGGTTAAGTCGTTCTGTAGGATCATAAAAATCACTTACAGGAGGTGTTTGAATCTGTGGACTCAGTTCTACGCTATCAAGAAATTGTCTTGGTCAGAGCAAACTGATCAGGAGCTATTGCTCACTCTTTATCCCACCTCTTCCCTTTCCTCTGGGTACTGAGCAACTGAAATGCAATCTCTGTTTTAACCCCTTCCTTCCAACTCTTCTCTTATCAAATCACCCACAGTTATCTCAGGACCAGCGTGAAAGTATCCCAGCTGACAGCCTTGTGGCTGCTCTTCCAGCCCCTGAGGGACTCTCCTAGAGCACCCACCTTTGTTTAAATACATTTAATGTTTAGTGGGCATTGCAAGTTCACTGTCCAGTTTGCAACTTTTGTGGGTTCTCTTTATCTTAGAACAAGAGCTAAATTTGTGACTGTCTCTGACATGAACTGGTTGGCCTGCTCTTGGATCACCTCCCCCTAACCGGGGAGCAGCCTTACCAGGCCACAGAGGAAGACAATGCAGCCAGTCCTGATGAGATCTGATAGACTAGGATCAGAAGGAAGGGGAGGAAGACCTCCCCTATCACTGGACTGGGGGAGGGGCATGGGTGGAGAAGGAGAAGGGAGGGAGCTACAGGGAGGATACAAAGTGAAAAATTGTAAGTAATAAAAATAAACATTAAAAAAAAATTGTGATAACCCACAATCTGTAGCAACAGAATTCACCTTCACTGCCTTTCTAAGCTTGTTTCATATCATTCTCCTCTTGATACAATGAAATCATGGTCCTCCCTTAGTTTAAATCAATATAAATTTAACTTTTTGATGGTTCAGGATTCTTTCCTAGGGCATGCAGTTTCCTTTCCCTTTCAATTAGTCAATTATGTTTTTCAGACAGGGTTTCTTGATGGTCATGAACTCACTATGTAACTGAGGCTGTCGTTTCTTCCTGCTTTCACTTTTCCAGGACCTGAGGTCACAGGGATGTGCCATTGTACCAAGCTTCTTTTCCCCCCTCTTTCATTACTATTTCTCTCCACTTTCACATTTTGTTATCAGTGTCTCATCCAGAAAGGAGGCTTTCTGGGAGTTCACACAAGTTTTCACCTTTCATTTCCACTTACTATATATGGTACCAGTGCTGCTTTGTGAGGGTCATGCCAAACAATATAAAAATATGATTCTTCTGTTTAGCAGCTGCTATGTCAACAGAATAGCAGCCTTGTGAGGCAGGGGCTTTATGTTATTAATTCTTTCATTTTCTTTGCCTGGTACATAATATACATGTACCACATGTTTGCTACGTCATTGAATAGAGACATGCTGACCAAAGGCACGGACAACTTTCATAAAAAGCGCATATAAACATATTGAGGTATGAAGCAACAGAGCATGTCTGCAGTGAGAAAGTTTAGTTTTTAGAAAGAAGAAGGAAAAATTGAGCTACACGACTTGGTAACTTTCGTTTTTCTCCTTTCTTCATTTGTTGGTTTAACCAAAGCTTAGTGAATGTTTTTAATACCAGATACCAAAGACTTAGCCTCTAGAGCTTCCGATTTGTTGGTGGAGTGTAGTTAAGGAGGGAAGGGTTCTAAACTGCAATGCAGTTGATTAGTAAACAGAAAAAAAAAATGTCAACGGTGTAAAAAACAATGAGGAATTGAGCTTCGCAGGTCTGAGGAAATGACTGGGTGAAAGCAACAGAGGAAACAGCAGAAACACAGGATGGAAGGGGTCTAAATGAGCTGCTGTGGCTGACCGGAAGTACAGGAACTGAATCATGGGAATCTTAGATTTTTTATATTGAGGTCAATGGGGAGATCATACGGGGAGATCACATGGAATTCCTAAGCAGGATTGACATTGTTTACTTGTTTATTAAGGTACCAAGGTCATGTTAGGCTGAGGACAGAACATACATTTGATAAAAGTTTGATAATGTAGAGACTAAGTTATAAGCTACAGGGCTATCATTATCTTTGAGACAGAGATGATAAGTAGTGAAGGCATCCAGGCTGTACGGACCAATACGGTGATTGTTGATATCTAGCCTAATAAGTGCCAATCAACAACTCCATGGAGACGATCACAAGAACAGTGCTTTGGGTGTGGTAATTGAAGCAAGTACTATGATCTCAGTACTCTGAAGGTGGAATCAGGAGAATCAGAGCAAATTCAAAACCGCACAAGCTACAGAGTGAGAGGCTGGCAAAAGGAAAAACATGTATTACTTTGTACTTCATATTTCCCGTGTAAATGCAGGAGAGAACCAATAAATGAAGCTAAAATGTATCCACCGATAAGAGGGGGAAATCCGAAAGCTCCAAAGTTTAACTACAGGCTGGGAAATACAGGCCAGAAGATAGGAACAGTAATAATATAGCTACCAACTCTGGGGCAAAGAAGAAAACTCCCCAAATACCCCAAACCAAACTGCCAACTATGCTACGCTTTTGAGCACTTGGAAGAATCGTTGACTCAGAACCCCAAAAGGAGGAACTTCTAAGAAACTTAGAGCTGTTTTTTCTTATCTTCCAGAGGTATTCAAGTAACTTGTTCAAGGTTGTTATTCATTGAACATTTTCTGAGGCCACTATATTTTAGGCCGTATGCTAGGTAATACAAGAACTCATTTGTGTGATATTTTCTCCCTATCGATAAGCCTATATAGTATACCAAAGGTCCCTAACTCATTTTAGTACCTAGAATTAGCTATCAAGTCCTCTCTAGGGGGGCTAGAATAGTCTCTAGTTTTGTTTCTGTGTGTGTGTGTGTGTGTGTGTGTGTGTGTGTGTGTGTGAGAGAGAGAGAGAGAGAGAGAGAGAGAGAGAGAGAGAGAGTTTTCCTTCTCAGATATTTCAATAGAAATGGCATAGAACTTCTAAATTCCAGGGGTTTTCCATCTTCTCTGCTTGGTTATTTGTGGGCCTGTTTGGATCCTAGGATGTTAAGAAAGCAATGTGGTTTTGTGCCTGAGCAAGGTGCATTAACTTGTAGGTTTTGTGATCTGGCTTCAGAATGTACATCGCTAAAACTGCATTCATGGTGGGCTTTTCCAATTCAATTGTCACATCCAATAGATTTGAACAAATAAGACCTTCAGTATTTCTAGTTTCTTAGGCTCTGATTTTCTCTTCAGTGACTGCATAATGGAACTAACTGATCATGGGCCCAGGACAATGTAGCCACATGAATGGGCAACTTGGTTGGCTAGGAGAGAACAACATTTCTTTTTACAGAAGGAATGTCATGATAGAAGTAAAGGACATTAACGTTATCTCACATCGCATTTTCAGTCAAACTGTCTTCTAATCATCTGGTATACTATATAGTATAGTATACTTATACTTATACTATAAGCCTATATAGTATACCAAAGGTCCCTAACTCACTTTAGCACATAGAAATTAGCTATCAAGTCCTCAAAGGCACTCCCCACACTTCTTTTGTACTTATTTTTTAAATATGCTTTCTTTTATCCTCATTAGCACAATCATCTCAAGTGGCTCTACTCCAGTGTGAACTGTGTGAAGAGGCTGAGGTGATCATCAAAGTGAATGCAAGCCCAGCCACCTCACTAGTAGGTCCTAACCTTCTCTGTGGGTCTGAGGCCCTTGCAGCTGTCTACAGTAACTCATGGCAGGCATGAGAAGCCTTTCTTCATGTAAATATGAACAGTGGAGATATGTAACACCAACGAGACTACCCTACACCTGGATAAATGTCATGCTTGAATTCTGTGCTCTTCCTGAGAAACAAATTACAGTTTTAGTACTTCATGTTAATGGTTCTTTGTGTCTGAAGGGAAAACAACATTCTTCACACTAAAAACTGAGCCTTTCAGAGAAACACCTAAAGAGATGCTCAACATCATTAGCCATCAGAGAGATACAAATCAAAAGAACCTGAGATTTCACCTTACACCTACCAGAATGGCAAAGGTTAAAAACTCAAGTGACAACACATGCTGGAGTGGTTGTGGAGAAAGAGGAACCCTCCTCCATTGCTGGTGGGAATATAAACTTGTACAACCACTTTGGAAATCAATCTGGTGCTTTTTCAGACAATTAGGAATACTGCTTCCTCAAGATCCAGCTATACCACTCCTAGGCATATATCCAAAAGATGCTCAAGTACACAACAAGGACATTTGCTCAACCATGTTTGTAGCCACTTTATTTGTGATAGCCAGAACCTGGAAACAACCCAGATGTCCCTCAACGGAGGAATGGATACAGAAATTGTGGTACTTTTACACAGTGGAATACTACTCAGCAATTAAAAACAAGGAAATCACGAAATTTTCAGGTAAATGGTGGGATCTAGAAAAGATCATCCTGAGTGAGGTATCCCAGGAGTAGAAAGACATACATGGTATATACTCACTTATATATATCTATAAGATAGGATAAACATATGTGCACCTAAAGAAGATAAACAAGAAAGAAAACCTGGGGTAAGATGACCAATCCTCACTTAGAAAGACGAATGGGACGAACATGGGAAGTAGGAGAAAACAAGAAACAGGACAGGAGCCTACCGCAGAGGGCCTCTGAAAGACTGAAAGTGTATCAAAGCAGATGCTGAGACTCATAACCAAACCTTCGGTAGAGTGCAGGAAATCATAGATAAAAAGGGGAGTTAGTATGACCAGTAGAGGACAGGAGCTCTACAAGAACAAAATATATCAGTGCACGGGGGTCCTCTATGAGACTGTTTCTCCAACCAAGGACCATGTATGGATATAACCTAGAACCCCTGCTCGGATGTAGCCCATGGTAGCTCAGTATCCAAGTGGGT